CTTTTACTATTAAACTCTTTTCCATTAGTCAGTAGAGGACAGAAAAAGACTGGTATAAAAACCAATCTGCTGTACGGCACAGCAGGTACTTGTTGAAATTTATATTCAGCATTTTGAAGCTACAGCTGCTATCTCTTCACTACACCTTCTTCAACTTTGGCTAAAACACATTGATGACATTTTTGTGTTATGGGAACATGACACACAAAATTTGAATGAATTTTTATTACATCTGAATAATCAACACACATATATTTATAATTTACCTTAAAAGTAGAGAAAAATAACTCTAACTTTTCTGGATGATCTGGTAGTAAAGAATACCAATGACCTTAGCATGGAGTGCGTAAGATATGCAAAAACAAATACACAAAAACTGAACTTCTACAGCTTCAACACTTTTTTTTATTTACAATAACTATTCCAACTAGTAAAAAATGACTGTCCAAAAATCCTTCAAGGAAAAAAAAAACCATTAACAAGAAAATAAACACAGAACAGCCATACCTATTTCCCAGGACTTGGAGAAATAATGAATACCTTTACCATTCAGGCTGTGTTCAAGAACCCAACTAATTGATGCAATATCTTAACTGAGGTTAAGTTACTTCCATGCAAAAAAACATTGTCTATAATGTATCATGTGAACTTAAAATCAAGAATACAATGGAGAGAACAAATGTCCCACTAACATTAGAATGAAAGAACAATAGTGGCATTGTACATTTACCTATTACACACCAGAGAGAACAACCATAACATTGACCTTAAGAACATAAACATAACTACCAACGAGTGTGATACCAAAAAGAGAAAAATTGAGGAAGCCATTGCAATAGCAGTCCATGAATATGGTCCTTCTACAGGCATTAACCAAAATCATGAATTCCCCCTTCATACTTGCTTGTTACTTTTCATTAAAGAAATCACACCATGCATTGACTCTAATGCTATTATAAAATTAACCTACCAATTTTCCCTATCCTTTATTTTATCTGACTTAATTTATCTATAGTTACTGTTGATCATGTCTTTGTAGCATTATGTTAATGAGTCACAATAATATGAGTTGCAATGTTTTAACTTGTATATTATTATTTTAGTTTATTAGGCTTCAGGCATATTGTAGTAAAGATATGAAGGTTATGTTTTTGTTGTTGCTTAGCACCTTGCAATTCAATTGTTCTGGTAAATCTTGCAGTTTGCTAAATGTCTTGCATCTCTAGAAATCTCAGGTAATTGAGTTGAAAGCTGGTGTGTTAAAAACTAAAATAACATGGTGATAGTTCAAATAAATTACATATTACAAATACAAGCACTCATGTTATAAGCCCAAAAAGTTATTAGGCTTAACTAAGTTCACTTATAGGCCTAAGGTAACACACAACTACTGTAAATACTAACAGGACAATTTTGCTTATTTACTTGCTAATTTCTCTTATATATATATATGGCACTTTTTTTAATTTCTAGTGTTTCTTTACAAACACAAACTCAATATTCACAAAATTGAAGTAACAGACTGACTAACCAAACTCAATAAGCAATCAACCACTGTATCAGATTCACAAATCAATTAATAATCTAGTGTAGTGTAACTGGTATTTTTTATACAACTAAAATCATCTCCTATATTTTCATGAAGAATCTAGTCATTAAACTATACCTACCATAGCATAAAAAAAGTATAATATCATTATAAAAATCCATACAAAAAATAAAAATGCATTTTGCAAAAGAGCTTGTGAAAAAGTGTTATTTAAGCCATATAAAAGGACTGAATAAATCTGAGTATTAGTAATTGAGTACATAATGTAAACATGTCCCTTAGTTGAAATAAATGTTTAAGTAAAATAACATTAATTATGAAGTCTAACAAAAGAAACATGTTATCTTAAATACTTCATGTTGATGGATTACCAAAATATGAATGCTAATAATATAGTTTTTTGTTGATGTATTATGAATAACTTTAAAATGAGTAGGAAACACTTTTTTTTCATAATATAGTTCCATATTAACTTTCTTCAAAATCACTGTTGACTTCTCTCTGAATAATTTTAAAAAACTTTTACTATTAAACTCTTTTCCATTAGTCAGTAGAGGACAGAAAAAGACTGGTATAAAAACCAATATTTTCAACAATGTTTGATTAGTTCACATTTATTTTACATACAGAGTCAAATATGCATTTTATATATAAAGATATATCAGTTGTTTCTGGTAAACTTTAGTTCATCTCTTTCACCTTACTTTGTATCATGTGTGATCCAAGGTTGTTGTTTTAATAATCACTTGAAAACCACAGTCTATTAATATATTATGGTCATTTTTTTAATGGGTGTTTTTTTTTTTAAATAAAGGCACAACTAGAAAATCATTACATATTAATTCTCAGGGATACTGAAAAAAGAAATATTTTCAAATCAAGTCCTTCATAGTCTCAAGAGTAAAGTTATATACCTAACTTGCAGATTATTTTAGGTGACATCATCTAAACCTGTATCTTGCAGGAGTGATAACCTTTTAACTCTACTCAACTTTTGCTGCAACTATAAATATTTTAAGGTAGTTTTTCCTACACTAGAAGAAACTGGTGTTATTTTGCTGACAATAATATAAATGTTTTATATATCTTTACAAAATCATTCCTCAGTTCAGCAATATACTTTGCTAACAAATAAAATTATTTTGTAGGTTTCATCTCTAGCTCAAGGCTTGAAATGTTTAGATTTTTTTATTATACAAGCTTCAAGATTTACCACAAATTCCAAGTTAGTGAACTGAATTTCTCATACTTTTCACAAAATTACTTTTGAAATTCTGTTGCCATATTTCACTTTATGAAATCATTATATTTTCATCATTCACTAGAAATTTTCCTAAAAACAGAATGTAGCAGTTCAATTGTTAATCTCTTTCAACAAAAGTTCACTCTTACCTGGAGCTCTTCATCCGTAAGATTTTCTCCTAGTTCTTTCGCTACTCGTTTCAAATTCTTGAAAGAAATCTTCCCAGTATTATCATCATCAAACAGTTGAAAGGCTTTCATTATTTCTTCATTGATATCTTTCTCAGCCATTCGTGTAGACATTACATTAAGAAAGTCATCAAAGGCAATTTTACCTGATTTTAAAAATAAATTACAAACTATATATTTAATATAACATAAGCACTCCTAACATCAATCAGATATCACTGTATAAAAAATAAATCCAGGGTATTTTATCTTAGAGAAGCTAATAAAAGTCCTATATTTTAATCCCCAAACAATTAATCTCACTTCATAAATAAAAATTAGTGAGTTACAAAACTTTATCAAATTTCTATTTATGACAAACAAAAATTTTTCTTCCAAGTGGAAAATGTTCTTCTGAAAAAAAAAAAAGGTTAATCCATCCCTACCAGGAAAATTAACTAAGTTTTTTTTACAGGTGCTGATAGAACTATGATAATATTAGAACTGGCCTTAAGGTTAAATTTCAGTATAAAAATTTACAAGTTACATATATGTTTTCAGTATTTTGAATCTATACATATATATCTATATACACACATCTCCTTCTATATTCCTTTAAATGTCTTAGCTTAAACAACTAAATGCACTTAAGACCTAGCAGATGTTGAGAGGCTCTGTTTTGATTTCATTTAAATTCTTTATAGGAATCATCCATTCAGACAATAAAAATCCATTAGGGGCCTGCCAATTATAAGAGGCTGAATTTGAATTTTGTTCCAATTTCTCTACAGGATGTATCCAGTCAGAAAATTAAAATCCACTAAAGACATTAAAGGTTGTATGACGCTTTATAATAGGTATTCATTTAGGCAAATAAAATTCCACTGTGGACTCATTACTTGGCAGAAACATATACATTAAACAATTACATTAATCAAAAATAAAATGAAATAAGTTAGAATAAGATTACATGTACATATAGCAAATAAATTTGCTTACTTTATATATATATATTTTTTAGGAGTAAATATTTTAACCACAAAGACTTCAAATACTGAGAATTTTCCTCTATACATGTATTATCTCTAAGTATCAAAAAAAAAAAATCAAAAACTATTAATACTTAAAATCCCAAAATAAAATTACATAGTACAAATACATATATACATAGCAGTAAACACTCAATCAGCAGTGTACTACAAAAAAGTATATTCTTTCCATTTTAATACATCTTTTTTTATTATTTTTGTGAAAAAATATTTTATTACATAATATCTAAGTTTTACATTTATTTTTAAAGTATAGAAATTAATACTTAAATAAATTTGTACATTCCACATTGATTTTTGGATAATAAGATCATTTTAGACAATTGAAAGACTTTCATTATTTTTTATTGATATCTCTTTCACCCATTCTTACAGACATTGCATTAGTATTAACTTTTCTAAAATTAACATACTAAATTAAAAAATATTTTCTTTATTACTAAGTAAACATAACGTTATTGTAAAGAGTCCAAAGTTAAGGTATTGATTAATTAATAATAAATTTTAAATATGTGGATGTTTGTTTTGTAGAATACTATAAGGGAATTACATAATGTGTGTTACTTATATAAAAAACAAGTTATCATGTTTGTTTATTATATTGTTGTTTTTTCTGGTTTAGTTAATATAATTGACTTTAAGCAACACAGCAATATTAAGTAGATTCCTGGATAAGGTTTTGAAATTTCTGTTAAACAAAATACGGAATAAGTTAACAAAAATTGTGTTTCTTTTAAAACTTATTTATTCATGAAATTTGAATGATCTGCGAACTTCGTTCAGTCAAAAACATTTGCTGACTCAACCCTGGTTTTTGAATTCTCTGATTATTATGCTATTAACTGATATTATAAAACTAGATAAGTTAAAGGTGGTAATTACTGCTTTCAGAATTCACAGAGCTCTTGAATTATGCCATTCTAACAGTTATCTTGGTTAGCAACTGAAGAAGATAACAGACGATTTCAAATTAATTGATGTGACGAGGCATAAGCTCTACAGTTACTAGACAATCTATAATCATTAGGCCTGGAACATATTTCCAAACAGCAAAACCTCTTTTTTATATAATATAACAATTACGAAATACATATCCTATTATCTAACAATTGTATCTATTGAATATATGGGTCTTATCTACAAATGGTATTAAAGTGTTTTGAATGTGTTTGTAACAACCATTTCATAAATAAATCATTTTCCATCTGATAATTTTTCAACAATTAATAAAAGAATAAGTAAAAAATGATTTGCAATCCAGAATGGACACTGCAATATCTCCCATTTACTTTCAACTAATAAGCAACTTCGTTGGTAATATTTTCTGAAAAGCAAATACCCTTACCACTGCCTTCTTTATCAACTTCTGCAATCATCTTCTTAATTTCTTCTTTTTTTGGTTCAAATCCTAGTGCCCTCAAGGCAAACTAAATACAACAGACTGTCTTGAATACATTGACAGGATCACAACATATTGTACATTTTCTTTTCCATGCAAATCACTCATTGGATAGTACATTTTTATCAAAATGCTAGAAGCCTGACTACATGCTCACTCACTCACATGATATAAAAAGTCACAATTTACCTTTAATAAAATTGTTAGTGGCATAAAACTACATATTTCACTACAAAAGTAAATGATAGGCAAAAAGTAGGGATGTTTTTTTTATTCGGTATGTAGAAAGTATACTAATTTTATCTGTTTGTTGGATATAATACAATTACACAAAATCATAACATGAAATACTAAAGTTTTGTATATACTCATGCTCAGTAAATATACCATTTGTGTCAGAACAATGATCATTAATGGATTCCTATACCATGAAAAAAATAATTTCTGATTATTTTACTTATAACTGTTAATAATTTTCAGGATTAAAATGAATTTTAAACAGGTACTTAGCTTTGACATTGAAATACATTTTAATTCTAAAAATGTAAAATTCAAATTAGGTAGACATACCTCTGAAATACTGAAAGCCAAAATACCCACATTGTAAAGAAAATGGGAATTGATAAATGTGAAAAAAACAGAAAAGTATAAAACTACTAGGAAGATAATAATGTAGACTAAAAGAAACATGTAGCCAAGCAGAGTTGGAGTAGAATCCAGAACTAAAATTTAATTGACAGAACTGAATCTGAGGAAGAATGATTGGAGTAGACAAGTCTTATAAAAATACTGAACCTAAAAGACACTCAGAAAAAAGTCATTATATCTTAGAAGGATACCTCTTCACCCATAATTCCTAATTCAAGCAAAGAAAGGTTGGTTTAGTTAGCAGTAATGGTGTACTGAACCTGTGGAGGCAATATTGGGATACATGGGGTAGCATAAACAAGTAGGAGGAATACTGCTCCTCATTGGAAAGTTCTCTGGGGAGCAGCCTAAACATGTATTATGAAAGGATATACTTCAGAAGCAGTAGCCTCTCTTCATCCATATCAAAAATTGCCAGTAAGTATGTGTGTGAATTTATTTCTTTATAACACATTCTAGTAACCAGGTAGTTGTCTTATATGTATATGTTAATGTCAAGAAACTGGGCAATGTTATGTGCAACACTTTCCAATAAATTCTAAAGAAAGGTTGAAAGATGATATTTAGCATAGGAAAGTTTCTAATTCTGACTTTGGCACAGATACAATCCTTAGTATATCATCAATGTAAAATGACACATCACAGGCACCATTTCATTATATTGAATAAGCATATGATTATCAGAGTATCCAACAAAAAGGTTGGCAAAAGTGGGACCCATTTTTGCACCTATCACAGCCCCACAATTCTATTTGTAGTAGATGCCATTAAAGGTGAAGGTATTAAGATTGAATACAAGTTCTGATAAATGTGTGTTGACAAATCAAGTAAGGGTCTTTCATCTAGGAAATGCTTTAGTCAAATTAAATTTTCATTCCAGTTATGTTTCTTCTTAAGTGAAGTAATGATATATGAATGGTGTCTCTTATGTTTCTTTGTAAACTTGCAAAAAGGGTGATACAACATCAAGGTAACAGCATATTTGTTCTGTATGGCATAGCCATACAACTGGTATGCCCAGATGTCCTTTTTTTGTGGTTTTTGTTGTGAAGATAGAAAATAGAAGGATGAATTAAAATGAAATTCCTAGCTGTAGTGGGTACTTCGTAAGCAACAATAATATCCTCAACTGTGGATGTTAGTAGGCTGTCAGGAGCAGAAAAATGGGTTGTCTTGAAAAGGAGTGTATAAAACACTACTTTTATATTGTTTTAAAGCTTCAGTTATATATATATATATAAATTCTTAAATATAGCTATGGTGGCATCACCTTCTTCTGCTGCTTTTACAACAATGTCATATTTTTGTCACAAATTGTTTATGGCTAATTGTTCATTGTGAGAGATATTCTTAGACTTAGTCTTTGTGTTCAGATTCAGTTCACTGATTTCATTCCTACATATTGATATGAAGTAGTCAAGTGTGGCGAGTTCACTGGAAGGTGACATCTATGAGGAATTTTTGAAGACAATTTAGAGAAAGGATCAACGGGATGATAATTTTAGAAGAATCTGCTTGAGAAAAATGAGTTTTCAATCTTACTCATTATGCAAAAAGGGCTGACACTACTTTATATAGGGACAAACTTAAGCCCTTTGCTTGGAATGTTAGTTCACTAAACAAGTGTTCCAAATCACTGGGGGAATGTGACAGCTTGGATGGTATCATTAATTTTTGAAATATTAGATGTGGAAGTAGTAGTTTCTTGTGTGTGTTGTTTTTAAGGGGAGGGATATTTCTCATTGTATTTAGTGTAGGTATGTTTGAGACTCCTCCTGTAAAATAACAAGAATTACTTTTGAATTGTTAGGGGAGCATCTGAATTTGGGAAGTGTGGATTCACTTGAAGGAGTCACTGTAGTAGGTTTGTCAATCTTTAGTTCAGGTATTTTGTTTTCATTCTAAGAAAGATCATTGCACAGAATCTCTGGAGGATCATTGTAAAAAATTTACATTGTCAGCACTGTTTAAAAGTGTCAGATCTGGTATAGGCTTATTTGTGGTTTCAAGTTCATTAACTCATGGTAACGTTATCACTTCTTTACCTTTTAAGGTTTTCAGAAAATTGTGATAATTATGGTTTATTTCATTAATTTTTTTCAAGATATTTGAAAAAATCCTGTTCATTACAAATTTGTTCGATTTTTGTTGATATTTGCATAATGAATTACCTACTACAACTAGGAATCTCACTGTAAATGAACCAAAACTCCTATTTTCTATCATCTTCCTAAAATACATAAAGAACATCTGTACCAACCTATAGTATATGCAGGCAGTTGTCCTACAAAACAAATATCCTGTTACCTTGTAAATATTTTATCATCCTTTGTCACAAGTTTACATAAAGAACACCATTCATGTCATTATTTTAACCAAGAACATGTGCTTAACTGAAAAAAAACAACACTACATTTCAACCATGGATATAAAATCATCATACACCTCTATCCCACACAATGAATGTTTAATTGTGTAAAGCATTTCTTAGACCAAAAATCCTTACTTAACCCTCCAAAATACTTTTATATTTAAGAAAATTGTACTCACACATAACACCTTAACTACTAATGGTAATCACTATCATACAAACAAATCTGTGTGGTTTTTATGGGTACAAAAATGGGTCCTACTTTTGCCAACTTCTGTTAAATACACCAAAAATCATATGCTTATTTAGTACAGAGGATCAATATCCATGACATTTCATCACTATATTGACAAATACTAGGGATTGCATCCATACAAAATAAGAATTAAAACCTTTTATATCCTCTTTCCACCCTTCTTTAGGATTTACAATGGCAAACATTGGACACAACACTACTCTTTCTCATCATGTTATATATATACATGAGGACCATCTGACCACTATTATGTATTATAAAGAAACAGATTCACTCACACACACATACCTATTTTTCAGTATTATCACTCATATAGTAACAAAAAAATCAATGCCATACTAAAAATATTTATGCAAACTATGTAGTGACCATGGCCATAACTAGCTACGAGGACACTGAGGTCCAAATCTTGGTTAGAATTTGAAATTAAATATAATGTACTATGTAACTTTACAACCATATGGAAAAGACATACAATATATAGCTGACCTTATGTGCTTGTCGGTGTTTGGACCTCGGGTAAATTTTCACTCTAGCTACAGCCATATCAGTAACAATTACAAAACAAAAGATACAAAACTTTCTTTTCTAAAAGGTGCTATCCTGAGTCTCTCATCCAAAATGCAGCCACCAAAGCTTAGTCATATACACAAAAACATACCTTCAACCCTACCAAAAAAGAACACACAGATCGTACTCCACTTATGCTAGCATACCACAAGAATAGTAAGAAAATCAATGATATTATACCAAACAATTATGTATTACTCACTCAAAAATAAACACCAAATCTATTTTAAAGTACCCACTTACTACTGTTTATAAACATGACACAAACCTAAAAGAAATCTTGATAAACAACAACTTTAAACAAAAAAGAATATGATACACTAGGCGTTCAAACATGTAAATGAAAGAGGCAAGTCATTACCCATATATAAATAGCACCACACTGATACATGAAAAAAAAAAACAGCTTTCACTATAAGACAGTCCTTTATATGAGCTACTGGCTGTGTCATTTGTAGTATAATTTACACAAATAGTGCAATGGTATATACATTTAACAAAGAAGCTGTTGACTGGGTGACTAAATACCTTAACATCTAAACAATATTAGCAGCATTTCACCAACAACAATCATAGAACTGAGGATTTTTTGATCTGGGACTTTAAGTGGCCTAATAAACATTCACAAAAGAGAATATCTGCAAAGGAAATTAATCTACTATATGGGAACTCTACAACCTTCTGGATTAAAAGAATGTTTTCCTTTTTTACAGAATTTCACTTTTCCTGTAACTTTATTCTATTTTAGTTTTAATCTCTATTTCTACTTTTTCTTTATTATTATGACTTGTAAAAATACTGGTCAAGCATCCTTAGAAATTCATACATGCACTTCTGTTCTAAGCTTTAGAATCTGTCAAAAAGCACTAGCTCAAACATCATCTTCCAGAAATAAAAATATATATAACTTGGAAATTTTGTAACATATTCATTAATTTCTGTGTCTCTGTCACCTATGTGGTTAACCTTATTCTTTTCTTTTGCAGATTTTAAACAAAAAAATCAGAGGCCTTTTTATTGAAACACCTCAATAATGTTGTAAACAGATCATGTCTTACCCTCTTTTTCTGAAAATGAAATAAAATAAGTTAAGAGATCCCTTCCATTCCTGGAATCTTCCAAATGTGAAATTTCTCCTCTGAACCCTTCCAAACTTTCATACATCAAAAAAAGTTGTTATACATTTTAAAACTAGACATCTTCAAAACGTATTTAATATCTTACCTTTAGCTCTTTTGTATCAATAGTTCCTGTATTTTCTGGATCAAAGAGATTGAAAGCTTCCTTAATATCTTGCTTCTGCTCTTCTGTTAATTCTTGCTTTCCTCCACTTCTCTTCTTAGGTCCAGTTGAACTGCTAACTTTTCTGAAGTTAGACATTCTGGTTCTATATATAATAAAAAAAATAAAAAAATAATACTATTTAAATTAAAATGTAAACACAGAATAAAAAATAAGTTAATACACAACACATTCACTGTTAACACCAGAGTCCATTCTCTATGTAATAAAACATTCACACTGACACATTAACTTTTTCAGTTAACTTCATTTAATGAAGTACAACGAAGCTCCAGTTTTGTTTAAATTATTACAAGGAAAGTGCTTGTTATTTTAAATAGCAATTACAAGTAGTACATACATAAAACTAGCTGAATACTTCTAAATCTTTTTTGCTGTGTCTTCACAAAATTAGTACTAAGGTAATGAAGTGAACACTGTATCAATGAGGTCAGTGGTAACATCAAAAGTTGTACCAAGTCTTTTATTCTGCCCTATGAATAATCAAAATGTTAACATCAGGATTTTTAAAAAACAGAGTATTCATTACAACTTTCAAAAGTTGAAAAGAATTAAACTCACAATTTAAAAATACTTGGCCCAAACATTTACAACTGACATAACTGAACTCCAAACTTCTAACTCAACAATATAAACTCAATACAATAAATTAAGAACCTGACAGAAAAAAAACTTAATAAAATCTGCTTAATAATACAATGTTTACAAATTCTTTGGTTAATTATAACTCCCAACATTTATAATACCTATTCAAGCAATATCCAATCTAAAAACTACACATTCTCAAGCATCTGGCTTAGGAAGTCTTCAGTTCTCTTTCCTTTTTTGTACACATACTTTTATTTGCTACCAGACTAAAAGATTACAACTCAGCAAGGGATGATTATTGGCTATTGAAAAAAGTATCTGTCATAGCAACACTTGTTTACATATGACAACCAATTTATTTACAAGATTATTGCTTCTATGACAAAGATCTCAGCACCACCCAGTGTCAGTCATTTTGTTTCACTGTGAAAGTAGTGCTACAATTAACTCTAATGGGGTGTGAATTGGCATCATGCATAAACAAACTTAAGAGACTTCAAATTTGATGACGAGGAAATCCACTTTGAGACTAATAATGCTTGGAGATGGCTTGAATGGATAATGAAGAAAAACTTTAATATAAGTTTGACAAGACCTTGTTGAAACATTGTACATTTGCTGTTATGTTAAACTTATATTAAAGTTTTTCTTCATTAT